TCCTCAAGAAAAAAAAATTTTTTTCCTGTTCATTTCTCGTCATTCTAAAGTGATGATTTTGCGGATTTTTGTATTCTCTTTATGATTCTGAAAACATGCTAGGTATGGCATCAACCAAAGCTCGGATATGATGAAAATATATTTACTCAGTACGAGACATTTGATTTTGTTGTAGAGTTATGTAGAAGAAAGGAAACAAAGTAATAATAATAACAATTAGCACTGCTTTTTTTTCTTCAATTACAATAGAGACAGCAACAACGAGAAGTTGTGTTGGGCGTTCGTTTAAAGGCTTCATTTGTTTTGTTGAATAGGTTTTTTTTCTTTATTATGCTTTTTTTTTGCCAGGATCGTATTTCTCTACTTTTTTCCTCACCATTATAATTCTAGTCAAATTATAGAGCACTGGATTTCAGTTAAACAAACTACTTTGGATTTATTGGCTTTATCGAATGTCCGTTGAAGAAGTAAACATTTTTTTTATATGAATTTTTCCGTTTTCAATCCCCAGTTCTTTGATTTCAATTATGAAGACGCCTAAGCAAGACAAAAGGGTCGTTGAAGTTGTGAGTTTGAAACATCGTTCTAGCCTTGATTTATGGTGTCTTCTATTACTTTGTCGTTTTACTTTCCTTCTCTTCCTGTTAACTTGCATTACCATATTCAGAGGCCTTTATAGTTGGTTGGTGCACGCACAAAACACCCTGTTAGGAAATCGAAAAGAGGTTTTATTTCTTAGATTTTATTCTTTCTTTTACCGAGAAACAGATATCCTCACGAACCGTGTGTGGTGAAAATTTCGAGAAGGTTCAAAAAAAAAGTAAACCCAACAGGCAGTCCATTATTGACAGAAATGGTGCATGCACTATCAGCTGAAGAAGTGCCTTTGTGTGATTTTAACAGTGCATTATTGCCAATGCTCTATTTAAGAATTCTGCTATTTTTGTGTAACCGTAAAAATGCTTTTTAGTGCTTTGTAGTTATATAATGATCGCCAGTTTTCTCTAAATTGCGGTCTCGTCTTTTTTAACGCGAAGACACTAGCTCCAGCTGCATTCTCTAACTTTTAATTTACACTAGTTGCTATCACAGAAATATTTTTGAAGTATTTGTAAACGTTTATTTGGGATCTTAACGTCTTTTCTATTAGAAAGATTCCAGCATTTGTAACCAACGATCAGCAACTAAATTTTAAATTTTATTTTGTTTAGCAACATTCACCGTCCAGCATGAGTGTTACGGTCCAGGAGAGAAGTAGCGAAACAGTTACCGTAGAAGTTGAACCACCACCCGTAAGATTTAAAAGCTTTTATTTTTTGTCTTTTTTTGTCTGGTTAAGAAATCTGGTTTAGGTGACCGTTTCCTAAACCGTTGCTTCATTTGAAAAGGTCTTGGAGTGGACTTGTTATGTAAATTAAGTGAACGAAACCATGTCTCCTGATATAGTGACGGAACACAGCGAATTTTTTAAATTAGTGTAGGTTACAGTTTTAGGAGCTAATCTGTTATTTATAACGATATTTGCTTTTTTCTAGATTTATTTACTGCTTCGTTCGACTTTTTTGGCGTTTTGAAGTACTCTTTGGCTCTCTTCTCACCGGTTTAGTCACTACTTACTTAAAGTCCCTAATTATCTTCGCTGCGTGCTGAACGGAACTATTTCTGATAATTTGAAAAAATGCGCTGTTTTGGATTTGTACTTCTCTGTCATTTATTCGACCTCAAACATTTGCTTTCACGGCTTTTTTTCATCGTACTCAGCTAGAAAAGCATTACACGTTCGGCGGCTTTTAAAGATTCTCTTTTCTTGAAGTTTTAAATAATTGTTCAATAGCACGTTTTGAGGATTTTTTACATGAGTATAGTTCAAGTTTTATCATGTTAGTTTCTTGGTAGGAAAAGACAGTGTAAGATAACGTTATTGCAGAGCGCAAAATTGGTTGGTGATAAAGATGTGAGGTGAGGTCTGGTAATGGCGAACACTATTAACAACGTATGTTAGGTCGTTACGAATGAAAATTTTAATTCCACTTACCTTTAGTTCCTCTTTTATGGGAAAGTGTTTTTCCATTTAATATTTCCTGTCAGTTCTACAGTATTTTTATCTTATGCTATGTGAAACTGTTCCTGCTCGCTTATTACAGATTGTCTTCAGTTTTTTGTACGTTGAAGCAACCTGCTGTGTTCCTTTTCTTCAGATTGAAGAAGTTTCGAAAAAAATAATATTTACTAATTCTGCAGTAGTGAGGAGTGTAGTGAGCTGTTTTGACCAGTCAATAATAAACTGTTCAAGCTAATATTCGATGCGTTTTAAATGAGTTTCTCAAGGTGCATTTTAGATCATTTGTCGAGTTACAGCTCGTTGTGGGCGTCTAGAAGTTATAATGTTATTTTGCTGTGAAAGGTGTACACGAGAAACCAAATGTGTATTGTAACTAGGGGAAGAAATTTGCGGGTTTTTGTTGGTAGCAGTTAATGCTTTGAATATTTTAAAACACTTATTCCTTAAATAATTTCACTAGATAGCAATGATAAGAAATTATTTAGGTTGTGGAGCATATGGTGCTCAGTTCTCGTGATGAGAGTTCGGAACCAAGGTTGGGTAAATTGCTTATACCACTAACAGTTTTACAAGATTTGCTTTAGTGTTAATATTTTGGAAAATTTTTTTTGTCGATTAGAGTAGTCTCCTGTTCTTTATTGACGGAATTATTGATTAATAATTCAGAAATTATAGTAGAATATCTTAGGTGAAAATTTTTCTCATATAAAGGAAAATTTTGCATTATATAAGTAATTGTGCGACTTGAATGGAGCTTTTTGCGCTGTATTTTGTTAATATTTTAGAGTAAGATGGACTGCAGATACTGTTGACAACGAAATGATGGGTAAAAAGAAATCGAAGTGTTGTTGCATCTATAAAAAACCACGGAAATGGGACGAGGATTCAGATTCAAGTGATTCTGTAAGTTTATTATTATGTCTTGTTCCAGCAGTGCAGCTTCTACATTTTAAGCTGGTATCTTAGGAAGGATTTGTTCGAGCGGTCTTTTAGGTTCCCTTCGATGATTAATCATTTTTCTTTCACTTTCTTCTATATTTTTTGGGGGACTTGGTTAAAACTTTTTGCTGCATCTAACTTTCAAATTTTTAAGGGCAAATGCCAGTTTACACTACAAAAAATAGATATTTGTGGCTTGATAATAAATGCATCAAGTTTAGGATTGCGAGACAGGTCACTGTCGTGGACATGTAGAGAAGAGGAAGCCACACGGTGGGAATGCGGATCAACCAGGGCCGAGCCGCACGACTTGATAAATGGGCGGTGTTATGATGGTTTTTGTGTTACGTGTCTCATTTTACATGCCCTGTGATGATTATTTTTTATCTTTTATTTTTTTCTTTTGTGATTTCTGTATATGTTTTTCAATATTTCAAACTCAAATTATTTAGAACGATTACTCAATTTGTCGCCTTAAGAGAAATTTAGAGCAGGGATTTTCAAAGATTGACAGGTGTACATCATATAGGGCCACGATGGCAGTCGTGGCTTTTGGCCTGTGAGCGGTTATATCCCATGTTAGTCTTTTTTCCTGTTGGGTCTTCATGCTTATCCTACCATGCAGTTATCCTTACAGAGGTTCTTCATCGAGAGTTAAGAAAGACCTGTATATTCTTTTTTTTTGAACTTTTAGACGGGCAGTTGTTGGTTTAGATGTACCGAGTTAGCTTTGTTGAATCAATTTCGTAGGAGAGAGGTTATTCGCTAGATGTGAAGTTGATTTTAAGTCAAGAAGGCTTGTTGGTTAGATTTTTGCGAAAGTCATTTAGCATCATATTGTTTGTGATTATGGAACACTTGTACAGTTATATCAGCAGGTTTCCCAAGGATGTTATGCATTTTCAATGTTATTTCCACTAGTAAATTTCGAAGGGTTGCATGATTTGTACACAGCAGTGCGTGTTGAAGACGGCTTCTCGTATGAGACAGCTGAGAAATTCTAGTTGCAGAAGCTTGCTTGGTGGTAGCGGATGTGAACAACAGAAGGGAGTAACTTTGATGCACCTTTTTTTTGGCTCTAGGGCTGGTTTGCTAATTAAGGTGAGTGATGTAAAGCGATATGAATGTTGCCTTTCGATGGCGGGACATTGTTGCAGGAAAGTCTCGTGCTCCTAATTGTTGCTTTTGCGTAGAACGACTGTCGAGCCACTTGTGGGAATTCGTCGGTGAGGACACGGGCGGTTGCAACACTTGCAGGCAAATACAACTTTTGCAGAACGTCAGCGTACCTTTATAGTATGCCAAAAAACCTGTATTTTAGCAGTTTCAGTAGGTCCCGCTGCTTTAAAGCTCCAATGCTTATGAGCATCTTCCCGATTCAGAGAGTGTTAGGGATTTTGCGACAAGCAATAGACTGCTCGAGTTTATAAGAGCCAAATTTAAGCGAGAAAAGCAAAGCAGCTTTCACTGCTGCATATGAAGGAATTTGTCCCGTTGTAACAAGTAAGGCGTAAAGGCACTTCAGTTGAAGTCGTGCTGAGGTGACAACTACAACCCGGGAATACCGAATATTCTTAACAATTGGGGAGAAGTACTGAGAACTGCATACTGCTATGTACTACTAAAGATCTCTACCATGTTTTATTAAGTCCAGTGTTTGGTCCTAAGCAAAAATTTTAATGAGGTTCACTGAGGAACAAAATCTAACCCTGAATGCCAATACTTCTGAATGAGTCGCTGCCACAAAGAACACCAATCCTTTAGCTTGCTGCTATTTAAAACCAATAATGGGCGAATAAAATCCAACAATAAACAATTTATCTTAGAACCCGAGAATAGGGAACAGCCTTAACAAATGGAAAAAACGTTTTACATCTTTTGAGCCAACTCCTTTGCTCGAGCTTTTGCGATCCGCTCCTGTTTGGCTTGCGAGCGTTTCGACATAATTCCACCACCCCAGTTTTTCCTCAGCTCCTCTCCCCGATCATTGAAGTTTGTTACCATAGTTTCCTTGAGTTTGTTCAACACAACCTTATCTTCTCTAAATACAAGAAAAAATATGGTAATTACTAGTTTATATTTATGGATGAGAAGAATTATTAGTGGCGAAAAATAGGTAAGGGACTCATGAATTTCGTGCCACAGCAATAAAAGATGTTTAACTTACGGGTTGGTATCGACAACGGCTAGACAGGATGTAGTTTTACGGTGCACCACCTGCCCTAACCTAGCCTTTCCCTTCAAAATACAATACGGCACCTAAAAGCTGAGAGTAGAACAAAAATAGTAGCAGAGGTGATGAAACCAACAAAACGTAGCAGATCTGAACTTCGGCAACACTGAATTACTACTGGGCCAACTGAATCAGAAATGCCTGAAGAACCCATTCAGGCATTACTGTTCACATCCACTGCAATTTCATCTCACCTTGAACTTGCGACATAACGCGGGTAAGAACAACACGATTTCCAGCGGATCCACATCATGAGCGATCACAACTAGTTGTGCTTTTTTCTGTTCAACTAATCTGGTAACAGTATTGACACCAGAACGTACTACTGGCGGCCGTTTGGTTACCTCCTCCTGTTTTCCAGCAGCTCGGGCTTCAGCCCTTTTCTTTAGACGATTGTGTTTTTGCTGTTTCGTTTCAGGGCGGTATTTCTCAAGCAACCGTAACAGCTGAGCTCCTTCAAAAACAATTATATCTTAGGAAGCGCTAACTTTTGACTCTGAAAGTGAATTGTAGGAACAAAGTAAGCCAATGGAGAATGAAAAAATAAAGAACTTGTCTGAGCGTCCAGCGTTTGATGGAATTGGTTTATCGAAGGTGGGATCTTTAACCGCTTCATCAATACAGCTCTTTGCCGCTGCAGACGAATGTACCGAGGCCATTTCACAAATCTAGTTAAATCTCTCTTTGGTTGAATGTCCTGGCCTAAAAACTACTGCTATTAAACATAGGCATGACGCGACTGAAATTTTTAAGTTTCTGACTAAAGAAGCAACTACCATGAAACAGCCGGTGAAACAATCAAAAGAAAAAAAAGTTCTGAATACAGTAAGGCCTTCTGTTCCAACAAAGCAACGCTAACTTATTTGCAAGAAGTAACTCCTTATTCGCAAAATGCAACCACCAAACACGATGGTAAATTAATGGGACGAAGGGTGACTGCTCAACAACTAGTTTAAAGAAGTTTTGCCAATACTGCTTTTCTTCAAAAACCCAACTGTTTTGATCAGAAAACCCACTTACCACTTTTTAAAAAAACTGCATCGTTCGGCTTCTTCAAATGAAGTTTTTCCCTTCCCCAGTTAAGCACCACGGCAAAGAATAAAAAAACCATTTATACTTTTTCCTGCTCAATCCTTTTTTTTTTCTTCACTAATTTTACTGAGTTTTCTAGAACTCGTAACAAAAACAAAGCCACGTCAGGATAATTGTAAACTTGCTCTTGTAACGGAATGCCAAAAAAAGGTGAAGAATTGCAGTATGCAGGGCTTGCTGGATGTAGCATATCAAAAAGGTTTAATCCTTGATCAGTTTAAAGCTACGATTCCCGTTAGTGGGGTAATTTTTCCACTACTCCTCAAGCAAAAGTAATCGTACTGCTACAAGTTAAATAACGCTTCAAAAAATACCAATTCCGAAATTCCGAGGTCTCCGTTCAAATAGGGGATTTTGTTCCTTTTTCGGTTCCTGCTTCTTTACCGCCGACGGAAGCGGCGCAACCCTCTTTTTGATGATACGTTTTGACGGCTAAGAATAAAAATATTATACGGTGGTTTAAAATTCCACTGAAACTTGTCAACCTTCAAAAAATAAAAAAAAAAAAGGCAGAACCTAATTAAACGTATTAACCGCCTAGCAAAACTTTTTTTCAAAACTTTCTGGTATACTTCAGTGATTTATACGAGAAACACTTCCAAGTTTTAAGCATGTAGTATATTAACTAATTGTGAAGAGATCCCTACTTTGCATAAAAAATAGAAAAAGGTTAGAAAAATAAAGGGAAAAAACCTTACCATCTACAAATCACCCCTTCTACTAGCTTCTAATAAGGTGCAAAAGTAGAATTGACCCTTAAAACACTAGGGAAATGGGTTGATACCAAAGTGTCATAGAAAAACGCTTGAGGACCCTTAAAGAATTTAGCAGCTTAAAAGCTCTACAATATACTACTGTAGCTCTATAGCAACAGTCGAAGGAATTGAATATGCGGTAAAATGACATCCTGGGCAACACAGGTATCGCAAATTCAGTGGTCTACTAGTTCAGGTGGACCTGCAGTTATGCATTCAGGTGGACCTGCAGTTATGCGTTCAGGTGCAGAAGTGGGGCGATTTAGTTTTATCGAGCAG